TGTCTTCAAGAAAAAATGCCTTCAAGAAAAAACGTCTTCAAGAAAAAATGTCTTCAAGAAAAAAAGTCTTCAAGAAAAAAAGTCTTCAAGAAAAAAGTCTTAAAAAAAAATTTATTCAACGAAATTACCTTCAAAAACATTTTAAAAATTATGTTTAGAGGTCAATGACAAATAAAAAATATCTCTATAAATGTCTATCGCATAAAATACACTTAAATCATTGGTAAATTTTTCCTATTTAACACAATACAGTGTCCTATGGCTCTTAAAGCCTCCAATGTAGATCTTCGGCCATCTCTTACGTCTTTGCACAATCGTTCCATTCTTTCTTGGAAATATTTTGACTGTCGTTTTTTCGGCTTATTTATTTGAATTCCTCGGTCAATTTGACCAATAGATGTTAGAGCAGATGTTTGATCTTTTTTGATGGCACTGATTAAAGTCCATAACGATGGATTAAGATGGCCATTTAAATTGTGGAAACTAATATTCCAACCTTCACAAACGTTATTAGTTCTTTCATAACCATTTAATGTTATCGTAAAAACGTTCCATGTTTCGGGCGGAAATAGAGCAGGCATTCGAATCAACCTAATTTGGTTGATATTATTATTGTTGTTGTTGTTCCTGAAGGGCCCTCTACCATATGTTTTATCGAAATAAATGAAAAGATTTTCTAGTCCGGGTACATCTGGAATATTCCTTTCTAGGTGTTGGAGGGCATCATACAAACGGTTTATTGGCAAGAAAGCAATGCCATCTAGCATGCCAACAAAATGTCTAACATGATCCCTCTCTTTGTAAATGGTTGTTAGACCTAGCTCTGCTATCTGAATTTGAGATAACAAATAAATAAAAAATAAAAAATCCATAGCAAAATTTCATTCAAACAGGCAAAATGACAATTGATTAAAAATAGTTAACAAAGCATGCAACTATACCTTTCTCCATGTTGACTGTGTCAAATGGAAAAAACATCCTACAACTTCTACGTTTGCACCGAAGATATCATGTAAGACACGTCTGGGGGCAATTTCGAAGTCTAACATAACAGTGGTTGGAGCCAAAATTATGTTGTGTTCTTGCGCCTTATCTTCAATTGCCCTAAAAACTTCTTCATATGACGCCTGATTTCTTGATGTCATTAGGGCATAGGCGCATGTTACATAATGGTTAAGATAGGCAACTCTAATAAAGTACAGTTGGTGAAAAATATTTGGAGACAAGCTAAAATTACCATCCATAAACCATCTGCAAATATATAATAGTTAATATATATCAAAAATAAGCGAAGTGGTTTAATTACAGATGGAACTTCAATTTCGAAGTAACTAATTAATTTAATAAGCCGCATTCTTCCTAAATAAATAAAATGTAACTACCTAGTACTTCTTCCCATTTGTTGTAATTGCACGAATGTCGAAAAAACAATTATCCGGTTGAATGGATTGGCTCCACTGTCGTAGATGATGACATTTTCGTTGCCTCCTCTCATCTGCCAAGCTTTTGGTATTTCGAATTCTGTATTGGATGGTTCAATTGGAATATTTTTGCGGCGTTGGTTTCTAATTGTTTTTGTCACGTGATCTTTATGGCCTACATTTGCTCTGTCT